TGCTTGACAGAGGGACCTGAAAGGCCCTAAAAAATTGAAAAACAACACCGAGCGGCACATTAAAACCAGTATACCTGATACACCTTCACCTATTCTCTGTACAAAGAATTGCATTATATGTTGATGAACAGCCCCTGCACGGGCCACTACATGTAATTAAGCTGCACTTGGTGTTGAAACAAAAAAAAAGAATTAAAAAAAAAAAATACATTTTGAGTGCGTTAGAAGTAAACTGAAAATCTATATGGTGGCTATCATGTCTAAAGAGAGAGTCAGCTTGTTAAACTCAACATTAACTCTAGGCTTTCCACAGTCCACAGTGCTTGGGGACTGCCGGCACCATAGCCACTGCAGTGTACTGTAGTGGTTGGGGTGCCTACATTGTCCCTTTAAGTTTATATCTTGAAGTAAAAGCCAACCTTATATTTGAAAAATATCTGCTGTCTTCACATTATTTTATACAGAAATTCCATTGGTCTCCTATGTTTATATTTCCCATGTGTCCCTATTTATGAGAGACAGTCAATATTTTGGGTTCAAATCTCTCTGTCCCTCTTCTATCCTAATGCCCCTCTTTTTAGGAGCTCCATATTGTTGGTGTTTCTAAGTGTATAACAGAGCTCCTCAGCAATAATACTCACAGCAATGTATCTTTAAACTACATTAAGTGCATTTAGAAATCACTCATAAATAACAAACACAATTCTTATTCTAAATTACATTTTAGTTGCATAAATTGTTTTTAGCAAGTCACTTAAATTTTTTTGGAACAACCCTGCCCCCACTCACACCTTTAAAATTAAAGTGTCCCTGTTTGCCTATTTGAAATGTTGGGAGACTTGTTTGTTAATACAACAGAGAAGTAGAAGAGTACACTTCCTCCCAGGTAAGAGACAGCCGTAGGGGAGGAGAAAGGAGGCAAAAGCACCACCACAAGTAGCATGGAGAGGCTAGAGTGAGCAGCTACATGCTCACTCCCATCAGCCTCAGCCCAGACCCTAAAAGCTAAGCTTACAGGTGGCTGCAATGTGTGTTAGTTTGTGTATGTGCCAATGTGTGTATCTGTGTGTATGTGCCAGTGTATATCAGTGTGTACATGCTAGTGTGGGCATCTTTGTGTATGTACTAGTGTGTGTATATATAGTTACATAGCTGAAAGGAGACTTGCATCCATCAAGTTCAGCCTTCCTCACATTTGTTTTTTTCTGTTGATCCAAAAGAAGGCAAAAAAACCCAGTTTGAAGCACAATTTTGCAACAAGCTAGGAAAAAAATTCCTTCTTGACCCCAGAATGGCAGTCAGATTTATCCTTGGATCAAGCAGTTATTACCCTACATTGAAAGATTATATCCTTGAATATTCTGTTTTTGCAAGTATGCATCTAGTAGCTGTTTGAACATCTGTATGGACTCTGATAAAACCACTTCTTCAGGCAGAGAATTCCACATCCTGATTGTTCTTACAGTAAAAAAATCTTTCCTTTGCCTTAGACGAAATCTTCTTTCGTGTCATGGCCTCGTGTCATATGTAAAGTCCGGTTTGTGAATAGATTTCCACACAATGGTTTGTAATGGCCCTGAATATATTTGTATAATGTTATCATATCCCCTCTCAGGCAATGTTTTTCTAAACTAAATAGGTTTAAATTTCTTAACCTGTGTATGTGCCAGTGTGTGTATTTGTGTGTATTTGCCAGTGTAGGCAACTGTGTGCATGTGCCACTGTGGGCTTCTGTGTGTATGTGCCAGGGTGGGCATTTGTGTATGTGCCTGTGTGTGTATGTGTCAGTGTGTATCTGTGTGGATGTGTCAGTGTGCATCTGTGTGTATGTGCCAGGGTGCATATTTGTGTGTATGTGCCAGTGTGTGTTACTGAGTGTGTGCATATTTGTGTGTATGGGCCAGTCTGGGTATCTGTGTGTATGTGCCAGTGCATGTGTGTTAGTGTGTATATGCCAGAGTGTGTGTATCTGTGTGCCATGGTGTGTGCATGTGTGTAAATAGTTGTAATATGTTGTGTGTGTGTGTGACTGTGTGTGGGGGCCCGCATGGGGAGGAGGAGGGGTTCGGTAAATAGTTTTTAAATATTGTAGTTTATAAATACCCGTGTTAAAAATGTTCTTAGGTTTTTTGTTTTTTTTCAAAATTATAGGGCAATAAGTACAAGTAGCACTTTGCTGTTTCCAAACCATTTCCCCCCCTCCCAAAATTAACGAAAGTTACATTGTAACACTGATATCTGTCAGGAATCCCTGAATAAGCCTTCACATGTATATATTTTTTAAAAGAAGACAACCTAAGGTATTAAACTCAGGGTATTTTGACTCTTTTCATGCAACCATTTTACCACCAATCTATGCCAAATTAAAAATAAAATAATAGTTGGTGATTTTTTTTGACACACATAGCAATTTAAGAATACATGTACTGAGAACTTAAAGGGTTATTGCCAAAGAACACCCCAATATGTGTTCAGCAACATCTCCTGAGTACAGTGATACCCCCCATGTATAGATGTGTTGGGTTTTCTGGGGGCTAAAAGACCTTATTTGGAGGGTGCGCTTTCCAGTTTTCCAATTTGGAATTTTCACATTTGGTCATCATGCACCCATGTCCTATTTTGGACATTTTTGAAGCCGGTCAATGTAATTTACCCCAATAAAACCACAAATTTGATGCATAGGTTGAACTTGACCATAAAAATAGTCTGGCACAGTAAAAGGAAAAAGAGCAACAACTAAGGAACAGTAAACGTAACCAAAAAAAACCCAAAAAACTGAACGGCAAAAAAATAAATAAAAAATGGACCAGTGTGTGGTATCGCTTGAAGCAATCCCCAATGCAGAGTCCAGGCTGTCCAGGGCAATCGGGACAGTAAAAGACGGGTTTGCCCCCTCTTGAAACAGACTCTGAATCTTCTGTCAGAAGGGACCTCAGGAACCCAGGTAAAAAAAAATGCACCAAGCACTCCTAAAGGTAGAGAGGCTGGGTGGATTTAAACTGAAAAAGAAAAAGTAATTGGTTAATGTTTGGGGAGGGGAGGGGCTATCAGTGTGTATGTCTGACTGTCAGTGTGTGTATGTCTGTCAGTGTGTATGTGAGTGATTGTGTATGTATGTCTGTCAGTGTGTATCTGAGTGATTGTGTGTGTCTGGCTGTCAGTGTGTGCATGTCAGTGAGTATGTCTAGCTGTCAGTGTGTGTATGTCTGTCAGTATGTCTGTCAGTGTATGTGAGTGATTGTGTATGTATGTCTGTTAGTGTGTATCTGAGTGATTGTGTATGTATGTCTTTCAGTGTGTATCTGAGTAATTGTGTGTGTCTGGCTGTCAGTGTGTGTATGCCAGTGTGAATGTCTGGCTGTCAGTGTGTATGTCTGGCTGTCAGTGTGTATGTGAGTGATTGTGTATGTATGTCTTTCAGTGTGTATCTGAGTAATTGTGTGTGTCTGGCTGTCAGTGTGTGTATGCCAGTGTGAATGTCTGGCTGTCAGTGTGTATGTCTGGCTGTCAGTGTGTATGTGAGTGATTGTGTATGTATGTCTTTCAGTGTGTATCTGAGTAATTGTGTGTGTCTGGCTGTCAGTGTGTGTATGCCAGTGTGAATGTCTGGCTGTCAGTGTGTATGTCTGGCTGTCAGTGTGTATGTGAGTGATTGTGTATGTATGTCTGTTAGTGTGTATCTGAGTGATTGTGTATGTATGTCTTTCAGTGTGTATCTGAGTGATTGTGTGTGTCTGTCTGCCAGTGTGTGTGTCTGACTGTCAGTGTGTATGTGAGTGATTGTGTGTGTATGTCTGTCAGTGTGTATCTGAGTGATTGTGTGTGTGTGTGTCTGTCAGTGAATATGTGTTTGTTTTTTGAGTGATTGCATCTGTGAGGGCGCCTGTATCTCTGAGTGAATGTGTGTGATTGGGTATGCCTCTCAGTGTGTGTGTCTGCATCATTGTGTGTATGTCAGTGATTGTGTGTATGTCAGTGAGTCAGTGATTGTTTGTGTCAAATCAGTGTGTGTGTGTGTGTCAGTGTATCTAAGAGTGTGTCTGTCAGTCAAAGTGTGTGTTAGTTGTTTAACAGGAAGAGGTGTGGCATTGACAGGAAGGGGTGGGGCAAATATAAATTAGGGGTAGCCCGAGTTCCGCCATGCCTAGGGCAGCACAGGTACTAAATACATCACTGACTTTGACGCAGTGGTGGACTGCATACATCTGGGCCATTTATGTATGTCTAAATCACCAATGTTTATTGCACATATTAGTACTTAGTTATGTCTCCTCTTGTTTTGCCTTGCATATCTGGTCTTGTTTTATTTTGTCTTGTATTCCCAGTGAGGGCCGGATTAACATAGGGGCTGATGGAGCTGCAGCTCCAGGCCCAGGCCCAGGCCCATGGAATAGGCCCATTTTTTACAGACTACTCTTAGGTTTGCCACCTGACTGGTATTTTACTAACACAGTCGGTGTTTGAGGCTGCCTGGCCTTGCCGGTATTGCAGTAAAACCTGGCAATACAATTGCAGGTATTTTTCTCAGTATAAACGGAGATTACTCTGCGATACCAGCACAGGCCAGTAGGGGTCACTGTATGTCTCCACATAGAGGCAGAGATAGGAAGTTACAGCATATCCCTGCCTCTCTCTACTACTCAAAGATCCGCGCGGAAGCACAGGGAGTCCAGACAGCAGCTCTACAGCTCAGGTAAGTGATGGATGGGGAGGAAGGCAGCAGGGAGACATGGGGACACTGAGACACAAGGGAACACATGGGTGTTGGGGAAAATATTATGTATATATCTGTTTAATATGTGCTTGATTTAGTCTGTGTGTATGGGAGGTCAGGAATTATCTTCAAAGGGAGTTTCTGCTTAGACAGTTGGAAAGATACAGCACCTGAAAGGCACCGATCACATTTACATATCAACTGGTCTTCTATCTAGGAAAACACACCTTAGGTTAGAGGCAAAGGGATGGCTGGGAGAGTTGACACTTAAATAAAATAACAGGATAGACAACACTTTGGGACTTGGGAAAGTAAATCACATTTACATATCAATTGAGTGGAGGAACCAATTCCTTTAAAAATAGAAGATAATGACATCACATTAGATTAGGTTTGGTAAGACACACATGCTGCACATAACATCTCACAGCACATACACAATGTAGCAGATATTATTATAGACAATGTAGCAGATATTAGATAGATGGAATGTGTGAGTGTTATGAATGTATTTTAACTATAACTCTGTATCATTCTTCTTCTGTAATATTTAACTGGGCAGATTCTAAGTAAAGATTTCTCTCTGGTAAGAACTATGGTGTTGGCTGTTTATTTGTAATATCGGGTAGAGTACCTTAGTAGTGCTTGTCATATATTTATCTGGACAAGGGGATAAAGATATATGTTAGTTCTTGGAAGAGGTGACACAGGGATATTACATTCACTATTAATACACAACGCAGAGTGGATTTCTCTCAAAAGGATACCAATTGGAAGTATTGGTGGTGAGAGAAGGATTATACAACATAATTGGTGCCGTGATCGTGGCCGGAAGATTTATTTTCTTCAGAATCTGCCTAGGATCCAAGTTTTAACATCAACGTATTTGGTTCTGTGGATGTCAGCCAGAAGAGGTTTCCAATGTCTGCATAAAGCTTGGTGAGTATATTTGTTATTTATTCTATTGCTGCAGTGTATATATTTTTTTTAATATGGCATGCAAAAAGGTAGATGCAAAAATGGCTTGTTCAGAAAATGTTAAACAATGGCTTATGAATTATATTAAGAGACATGGTGGTCCTTATGAAATCTCTCAGGACTGTAAACAGTCATAGGAAAAGATGCAGGAGTTTTTAGGAGAAATGTTATTTGATAAAAATGTTTCTGATAAGAAAAGAAAAGGGTGTATTATGCAAGCATTACTATCATGTTGTTTAAAATTAGAGGGAATTGTAAAAATAAAGGAGGATGAAATGGCAGAGCTTAATTCAGTAATTAACATGAAATCTGAGAAATTGAATAATAAGATTATAGATCTTAGAGTGCATGCAGTTACAACTGGCGAAGCTTTAATTGAAAAGGCCAAAATGTGTGAGGAACTTACAGTGGAGAATGAGAGGTTGAATGAGAAAATTTTGGAGTTGCAAAAAGAATTGGATGAATGCAGACATGCTACTAATATGGCTTTTAAATAAAATGGCAGAAAGCATGGCACCTTCGAGTAGGTCTCCTGTATCTGAAATTCCAGGGTCTATTGCTAACCCAGGGATTGGAGATACAGGATACAAACCCCTTTATCAATGGGAGGATTTGAAACAAAAGTCAGTAACAAATCTCCCTGCCAGTGGCGTACTAAGGGGGGGGCGGGGGGGGGGCGGTCCGCCCCGGGTGCCACCAGGGTGGGGGGTGCCATGACCAGCCCCGCCGCCCCCCCCCCATGCTGCAGCCGCCCGAGCGCTTTGTAGAGAGCCTCAGGCGGCTGCAGCTTTGCCCGGGCGGTGCGTCCATGAGGGCGGACCGCACCGCCCGGGCGCAGCCTGAGGAGAGGCTGACAGGAGGGAGTGCTCCTGTCAGCTCCCTCACTGCAGCATTGATAGTCCGCGGGTACAGAGAGCAGCTGTCTCCTGTACCCAGCCAGACTAACAGGAAGTGCACACTCAGTGTGCACTTCCTGTTAGTCCGGCCGGGTACAGGAGACAGATGCTCCCTGTACCCGCGGACTATACAGGGCTCGGCCACGCTACAGCAAAGGTAGTGGG